TGTTCTTGTGCAGAAGTGTCGCCTTGGGTCCTTTTCTCTCTTTTTCTCTTCTTTTGTTTTTTTTCAAGCATATTTTTTAATTCTGTTGATGGAAAGGCCGAAGAGGTTGGTGCTGGTGGTGGGCGGGACGGGCGGGGTGGGGCGGCATGTGGTGCGCGGCCTCCTGCGAGAGGTGGGCGACGGGGCCAGCCCGCGCTGGGGTGTCCGGGTTTTGTCGCGCAACGCAAACCGAGCGCGTGAGCTCTTCGCCAAGACCTCCGACGAGGCCCTCCAGGAGGTGGAGGTGGTCGAAGGCGACACCGCCAGCAACAAGGGACTTACCGAGGCCACGGCCGGCGTCGATGCCATCATCTGCGCCAGGTTACCCTTCTTTCGTGCCTTCTCTCTTTCATTTTTCGCTCATCTGTGGGTGGTACCAGTGGCGGAAGCGGTCTGGGCAGCAACTCGCCCAAGCAGGTGGACTTTGTCGGCGTCGGCCATCTCGTGGCGGCAGCGACATCGAGTGGGGTCAAGACGTTCGTGCTGGTTAGCTCGGGTATGGCGAAGGCTGCAGGGTGCGCAATGTCGGCCCCCTTGGGTTGACATAGGTGTGGACTTGTGTGGGCATGCAGCGGGTATCACCCAGGGCATGATGGGGCTCAGTATGAACCTGTTTGCGGGCAACTACGCCAAGTGGAAGAAGAGAGGCGAGGAGGTAGTGCGGGAGAGCGGCTTGGACTACACCATCGTACGCCCCACATGGCTCACCGACGGCGACGACAGCCTCAACGGCGTCGAGGTCAGCCAGGTGAGAACTCCCTACATACTCCATGCTTTTTTTTGCACGTGGGCCTGAGCTTCGATCACGCACAGGGCGACACCGTCTCGGTGATGAAGACACGTGTAAACAGGAGCGCTGTCGCCGAAGCCTGCTGCGCCAGCCTCTCGCACAGGTGCGTGTGCGGGCGTTGTCAGTTGTGACCGTTGGGCTCTCAGTAACGGTCTTTGCCGGGTCTGTACAAGCAGGGACCTGGTCGGGCGGGTCACGTTTGAGCTGATCGGGGTGCCCACTCGCCGCGCGGAGGACCACGCCGTCGATTGGCGCGACCTGTTCGAAGGCCTGAACCGCGCAACACCTCGCGAGATCTCGTCGTGAGGTACCGGGCCTGGATACCACACACTTACTCAAAGAGCTGGCGCCCTCCTAAGCAACTCCCGTTCGTGTTTGTCTTCGCTTCTACGCAGCGTGGCACGCAGCCCTGCGACCAGGGGCAACCGAGGTATTCGGGGTATTCGTCCGTTTGTGGGGTGGCCAGATTAGGTCCACTAACGGTTTTCGTACCTGCCCCGTGAAGCGCTATCTTGGTGTGTGAGACGCAGACAGGAGGCCTTTGATCTTCATCATCACAAGCAGCAGCAGCAGGGGAATCTCTCCCTCTTACACAAGGCCGGCCCCGTTATATGTATGGAGGATTCAGCTTGAACGTCAACGTGACACCTCCACCGCCTTTTGTCTCTCACGATGTCGGGTTCGTTCGAGACCTTGACGTCATCAACATCTTCTTCTTTCCCGCCCTCTTCACCATCGCCATCATCGCCGCCACCACTTCGAGATCGCGGGACGGGAGGCGGAAACGCGGGACAGCCGGCCACCGCCTCACGCCACCAGCAGCGCCATAATCTTCATCAGCACCACTCACCACCCAACCACAAAGCGGAGGACGACGACGATGAAGAAATGATGATGGTGGTGGTGGAGGAGGAGCCAACACACATCGTAGCAACAATCAAGTCAACAACAACTATAATCACATCACCATCACCTTCATCGCCGCCACACTCCACGCCGCTTGCTACGTCGGCCGCGGCGGCGGCGGCGACCACTCTCGACCTCTCCTGCAGCAAGCTGGCCTGGCTTCCGCGGGAGCGATTCGTCGGCTTCGTGGGCGTGACGGAGCTCGTACTCAACAACAACCGACTGAGCCGCCTGCCTCACGAGCTGTTCGCCCTGCCCAACGTGCGCGTGGCGCGCCTCGAGTTCAACGAACTGGTCGACCTGCCCGCCGAGCTGGGCCAGTGGCGCGCGCTCGAGGTGCTCGTGGTCCACAACAATCGACTCAAGCGGCTGCCTACGCAGGTCGGACGCCTCCGGCGGCTGCGGCACCTCAACCTGCACTGCAACCAGCTCACCACCCTGCCCACGTCGCTGCTCGAGCTCGACATCCGCACCATCACGCTCCACGCCAACCCGGCCCTGTCGGAGAACCTCAAGCGCATCTGCCAGGCCGTGTTCGCCCTGCGCGAGGACACGCTCGACCTGTCCCACTGCGGGCCGATCCGCGACCAGGTCGAGGAGCAGGCCCTGGGCTACGCGCGGCTCACGCGCGAGCTCCGGCTCGAGGGCAACGCCCTGCACGCGCTCCCCACGGCCGTGGGCCAGTTCTTCCGCCTGCAGTCGCTCCTGGCCGACGACAACCAGATCTCGGCCATACCGGTCCACCTGTGCAAGCTGCCCGCGCTGGCCCGGCTCAGCTTGGCCGACAACCGGCTGGCCAACCTGCCCGCCGAGATCGGCCTCCTCTCCTCGCTCCGGTCGGTCAACATGGACAACAACTTCCTCTCGGTCCTGCCCCCCGCCTTCTTCCACCTGGTCAACCTCGAGGGCCTCTCCCTCGCCAACAACAAGATCGAGAGCGTGTCCGGTACATACATCACCATGATACAAACTCTCACTCTTTGTCTCCAATGTCACATGATGGTAACAACTGTGTGTCGTGTCGTGTGTTGCGTGTAGGTGATATTGGCAAGTTGAAGAAGCTGCAGAGTATGAACATGGCGAACAACAAGATTCGCACGCTTCCGCAGGAGCTGTTCACGCTCACGCAACTGCAGTCGCTGCACCTGGAGCACAACTCGATCTCCGTGCTGCCCGACGGCTTCTCCAACCTGCGGCTGCTGCGCGAGGTCAACCTCCACGACAACCTGCTCACCAGCACGCCCGTCCAGCTCTACCAGCTGCCCAACATCCGCCGCCTCTCGTTCGAGAACAACCCCATCGCACTCACCACCCACTCGCCGCAGCTCTCCAACTCGCTCTCGTCCATTCCCTTCGACGCCTCGCTGGCGCCGCGCCAGTCGCCGCAGCGGCTCCAAGTCGTGCACCAGCCCAACCTCTACCTGTTCTCCTTCGGCCAGAATGCGGCCGGCCGGCCCGCGGCGGCGGCCGGTGGGGTGGCGGGCGGCGAGACCGCGCGCGAGCGGGAGCGCAAGGAGCACGACGGGCCGCGGCGCGACGTCAACGCGCAGCTGGGCAAGCGCAACTCGCTGCCGACGGGCTTTGGCCACGTGAGCGGGTCCGGCCAGACCTATTTCTCGAAGGCCTGCGATGTCGAGTACCTGCACCAGCCATCGCCCTCGCCCTCGTCGTCGTCATCATCGGTGCCCGCCAAGCGCAGCCCGTCGACCACCCAGCCACCAGCGACGGCCGACAGCCCACAGGCCCTGCAGCCCGAGGCCGCCGCCGCTGGGGCCTCGCCGAGCGAGAAGGTCAAGAAAACGAAGAAGAAGGGCAAGAAGGAGAAGACGGCGGGCAAGAAGGAGAAGGAGGGGAAGCCGGTCCAGAGGCGCAGCACGGAGGAGGAAGCGGCCGAGGCACACAAGAGGGCGAAGAAGGCGCAGATCGCACTGGGAGGCTCGGACGCGGAGGAGGCGAAGAAGTCAGCCAGGAGGCGGCAGCAGCAGGTGGCAATCACAGTCGACGATAACGACGACGGCGACGACGACGAGAAATCGATCCAGCGCTCCCACACCGTGTCCCTCTCCTCACTGCCCGACCTCGTTGGTGCGTGAAGGCCCGCCCCTTTCACTCCGCAAGAAACTGAGCTGCTAACACCAACAACCATCACCACGCACAATGGTCGAATCCTGCTCATCGCAGGCAAGGAGAGGGGAACGATCTTTGCCCTGCCGCCCAAGCATGCGCCCAAGTCCCTGCAACAGGCCAGCCGAGGCCTGCCTCCGTACGCCATGGCGCCGCTCACGTTGTCCTTTTGTTGTGTTGATTGACTCACGTTGCACTGTGTCGTGTGTGTGCTCAGTCCCAACTTTGCGAAGAAGAACCAGCGGAGCAGGTCGCTGAGTCAGGCGTACAACATGTCGCCCGTGCAAAAGGAGCAGCTCCTGCAGTACCAGAAGCAGCGGAAGGCCCAGAACAGCGCGACCAAGTCGCCCGGAGGGTCGATCAAGCGGAAGGGCCTCAAGGAGGCCGTTCCCGAGCAGCAGGTCATGAACCCGCTCTACCTGCTCTTCTCCCCGCTCTCGTCCACCTCTCCGACCCGGTCCGGCCCCACCCTCCCTCTTCCTCGCCGGTACCTTCCCACACGCACCACCGCACACGCACACCGCACGCACCGCACACGCACGCGCACGCGCACGCTAACGCAAACTACTGCAGGAGATACGGCACGGTATCGGGGCGATCGCTCAACGCCAGCGACAGGGTGGTGTCGTCGTTCGGTCTGGTCGCGCGGCGCAAGCTGAGCCACAATAACAGCGGCAGCAGCGGCGGCGGCGGCGGAAGCGGCAGTGGCAGTGCCGATGAGCCGGAGCGGGTGGTCATCAACCCGCTGCTGCGGCTGCGCACCGACGCGGCCACGCCCGCGCGCGGCCCTGACTCCCCGCTGCCCATGACCCGGTTCACCACCAGCTCGGGCGCCGCGCCCACCATCGTCTCGTCCATGTCGGGTCCCACGACGGCCGTGGCCTCGCCCACGCGGGTGCAGCTGACCGACCGGCCGACTGTATCGCGAGTTGGCTCGCCCAGTTCGCCGGCGGCGGCGCAGACGCAGCAGCCAAAGATGGCGGAGAGCACCAAGCGCGCGCTGGCCAAGACCAGCGCGTCGCTGATCGACACCACCCGCGGGCCGCACGACCCCAACAACGCCGCGGCGAATGGCGGCGGCGACGGCGCTGACAATAGCAAGCCGCTCAAGAAGACCTTTTCCTCGCCCGACTTCAACCCCAACAAGCGGCACACCATCGCGCGGCAGCAGCCGCAGCCGCACAGCAACAACGACGACGACGAGCAGCGCGCGGCCGCGGTGTCATCGAGCGCCGAGAGCTCGTCGAACGATGACGAGGACGATGACGACGAGGAGGGCAACAACAACGGCGGTGGCGGCGGCGAAGAGGGAGAAGAGTACGAGGAGGAAATCGAGGACGAGGAGGCCGTCGGCGATGGCGAGCTCCGCGCGGCGCGGCCCGACGGCACGTGGACCACCACGTCGGAGGAGGACCGCGGAACCGACGCCGCGACCGACATCGAATCGGGCGGCGGCGGCGACGGCGACGGGAGCGTCTCGTCGAGCAGCATCCGCAGCGTGCCGGCGCTCAACTTCTCGCCCCTGCAGCAGCGCCTGCCGCAGAGCAGCGACTCGGCCGAGGCGCAGGTCGTCGTGAATAGGAGCTCCAGCCTTCAGTTCGAGAAACTCTCTTCATCGAGTATGCATTCCTCGAGTCGTGTAGTTGGTCATGTCGTGTCGTGTCGTGTCGTTGGTCGTGTCGTGTCAATGTCGCTTGTGTGCGCCGTGTGCGGCGTGGCTGATGAGGGCGGCTGGGTGGATTTGAGTGCAGATCCGGAGATGGGACGCGCGCGCCGGAAGACGGATGCGCAGCGACGAGCCAAGATCGCCCACTTCTTCGGCGAGTATCCGGCCGAGATGGCCGACTTGACCGAGGAGGAGTTCTTCAGCGACAACAGTACAACACCCCCCTTCCCTCCCTCCCTCCCGTCATGCGCACACAACACGACACGCGCGCATCCGACACACATACGGCACGACACACAACCGACGCACACATGAAGTGGCTGACTGGTGGGGGCTCTAGCTGCGCTGGAGGAGGGGAAGCGAAAGCGGCGCGGCAAGGTGGCGAAGGCGGAAGGGGAAGGCAACGCCACCGATCGGAGCGTTCGACGGGGCGACGACGAGAAGCGGCTGAGCGGCCTGCGCAACTCCACCAAGGAGAAGCGGGCCACCACCCTCCTGCAGCCCGGTACGCTCCCGTGTGATCGACCGATTCAGTGGCGAGTGGCTGGGGCTGGGCGGGGCGCGGCGGGGCTGACTGTGGGCGGCGCTAGCAGGGTCGGTGACGCCGAGCTGGAACGGGGTGAAGAACAAACGACACCTGTCCATTCCGTCCATCTCGCCCGATGACGGCATCACGCAAGGCGAATTCCTGGAGACGATCTCGAGTCTTCAGAACAACTGTAATAAGGTACGCACGCACACGCACCGCACGCACCGCACGCACCACCGCACGCACGCGCTTAAAACCAAGCGTCTGACCTGGTGGACACACACGCGCGCGTACACAGAGAGCGATCAAGGTCAAGGGGGACCAAATTATGTATGACGACAAGACCGCACAGGACTTGTTCAAGTGGCAAGAAAAGAACTCTGAACTCTTGGCCTCGAACGATAAGACACCCGTCAAGGGCTACGATAAGGTTCGTCAGCACACGCACCGCCGCACACGCAGCACCGCACACACGCGCACTCATGCAACGCTTGCCGTGTGTGTGTGTGTGTGTGTGTGTGTGTACAGAGCAACATAAGGGAGAAGAAGAGCAGTAGTCAGTACAAGGGCGAAAGGGAGAAGGAGCCCCAGGCGGAGCTGCGGCCGCGCAAGAGTTCGTTCTTTGACGACATCCCGGACGAGCAGGAGCTCCAGTTTGTGCACGACGAGAACGGCACCATGCGGCCCATGCGCGGCACCCTCGCCAAGCTCGTGCAGCTGCTTGCCCACGAGCAAGGACGAGGTACGTGTTGTGTGTGTGCGGCGGTGTGTGCGGCGATGTGCTGACTCGCTCTCGTTATTGTGGTGTTGTGTGTGTGTGTGTGTGTCATGCGTGCGTGTGAGCAGATGTCGAGTTCGAGTCCGACTTTTTGTATTCGTACCGGGACTTCACCGCCCCGGCGGACCTTTTTGAGTGCCTCACGCAGCGATTCCACAGCGTGGGGCCGATGACCCACCCCGACACCTACGCAATCGTGCGCAAGCGGTACGTTGCGTTCAGCTCAACTTTCAGCCTCGGGTCGCACACACGCACACGCACACCACCGCACACACATGTAGTTGACACGCACACGCACACGTCGTCATTTCCAGAATATTGTATGTGCTGCGACGGTGGATGGAGCTGCTGCACTACGACTTTGCGGAGAACGACCACGCGCTCTTCCACGCGCTCACCGAGTGGATGGACACCGTGCCCACCCAAGGCCTCGAGGGCGCCTTCCGCAAGTTCCGGGAATGGACCGAAGCCAGGGTACTTCTTTGTTGTTGAAACGACGCCGATGAGGAGGAGGAGGACGCTGATGATGATGATGATGATGTGGTGGTGGTGGTGGTGCAGTTTATTCGCAATCAGGACTATATGGAGGAGCGACAAGCGTCGGACGACCGACCGCCGGTCCCTTACTTGCCCATCAACGTCACTTCCTCCTCTCTCCATCTGCTCAATCTCCACCCGGAAGAAGTGGCCAGGTACGCACACACGACACACGCACACGACGCACGACACACGCGCGCACGACACACGACACACCATCGCTGTTTACTGAAAGGTCGGGTTCATGTGGGCGGCTGCAGGCAAATGACGCTGATTGAGTCAGAGCTGTTCCGAAAGATCCAGCCGCACGAGTGGCTCAATCAGTCGTGGACTCGACCGGACAAGAAGAAGCGGGCGCCGGGCATCATGAACATGATCCAACGCTTCAACGACGTACGTCCGTCGCCTTGCCCCCCCCCCCAAGCTTTGCCTCTTCTCTTCTCCTGGGCCGCTTGCTCACCTACTCGCGCACCACAACAGATTTCTGGCTGGCTGGCCACCGAAATCGTGAGCGCATCCACAGTAGAGCATCGCGTGGTACTTGTAAATAGATTCCTTGTCATCGCCAAGGTACGCCACATATTTCTCAAATAATGACATATTTATATATTACTATATGTACATATCAATATATAAAGATGTTGTACAATATAGTGTGCACTACATTGTTGGGCAGCCAGCTTACGTTTTCCCGGTGTACACACACACACACACAGAAATGTTTGGAGCTGAAGAACTTCAACGGCGTGATGGAGATCCTGTCGGGGCTGGAGACGGCGTCGGTGCAGCGGCTCAAGCAGACGTGGCACAATCTGCCGCGCAAGTCGTGGGACATGTTCGAGGAGCTGACCGACCTCATGTCGCTGCCGCAGAACTTCAAGAAGTTCCGCCAGCGGCTCAACACGCTCGCGCCGCCGTGCGTGCCCTACATCGGCATCTTCCTCAAGGACATCATCTTCATCGAGCAGGGCGCTCAGGAACCCGACGGCCGCATGATCAACTTTGAGAAGCGGATGATGGTGGCCAAGATCGTGCGCCAGATGGTCTCCTTCCAGCCCTACGTCTACAACCTCATCCCGGTCGAGTTCATCCAGGAGTTCCTGCTCAGCATGAAGCCCCTCAACGAAGACGACCTCTACTCCAAGTCGCTCCAGCTCGAGGGCATCGGCGCGTCGGTCCCATCGAGCAAGAAGCGCCACAAGTCGTCCATGTTCCACTTCCCGCTCGGCGGCAACTCGCCGCGACGGCAGCCCCCCTCGGACTACTCCTCGTCGGGCGACGCCTCGTAGTGCCATCCGCACGCACGCAACGCCCTATTTACTTGTTCCCCTTGCCAACACCAACACCAACACCAACACAACCACCAC